TTTTTATAACTATATTTTCTTGTCTTTTTTTATAATTTTCCCTCTTCTCTTCTGCGTAATATTTATTCTAGCTTTTACTTACTAAATCATTTATCTAACAAATCAAATTGTACATTTCTATATTGAAACGCGAGTCTCTAATAAAACACTGAAAAGCTTTTTGATGCTAATAAAATGTAAAATATATTTAAAATATATTTAAAATAATATTTTGTTTAAGATTATAATTTAGTCCTTGATAAACATATTATCTGCGAAAAGTCATTAAGAAGTCAATTAATTTTAATAAATGGTATATTTATTTTATGTGTATATAGAAAAAGTGAATTACAATTATTAAAACTTGTTTTATTAATAGTGATTTTAAAATTGCATTGCTCGGGTTTTTTATTTGCGCAGCCTTATATTCTTTTGATATTTTAATAATTTGAGCACAGTGTAATCCGTCTTTATTTTAAGATCTTAAGTATAATGTCTTAAGCACTTGTAATTTCATGAAATTTCAAGACTATCTTTTTAAGAAATGAATACCGGTTTAAGAAGTCTCTTTCAAGTAACACAATAGGTGTACTAAGCCTTAATCTTAGAAATTGATCAATTATAAATGATTCTTTGACTATAATTAATTTCTTTAGACTTAACTACACTATTATTATTATCATAAGATTATTAAATTTTGACAGCTTGAATTTTTAAATTTAAAATCCTGAAAATTCTTAAAAATCTACGAAGTATTATTTTTTAATCTGATTATATAATCTTTTGATACTTTCTCGATTTACTACTTTGTCGATTTGTATAAATTTATGTAAGTTTTTGTTGATAATTACAAATATAAATAATTGCAATTAATGATGTTTGCTAAAGATAAAACTATAACGTACACTGCAGCATATACATATATATTAAGATTTCTGAATTACTTTCCATATTTACAACCTCAGAAATATCAATAAATATTATTATAAAATCAATTTAATAAGACTAAATTGATATATATTATACGTGACAATACCAACAGAGATGCTTGAAGGTATTTTCTATCATGTATTACACATAATCGTCGCTTGTCTGTGATGGCAGTATCGCACTGGATGGTGTGATGTGCACTATATGCAAAAGTGCAGGTAAGCGCAGGTGCGTGGTGTGATCTTGTGAAGAATCTAAATCGAATTATAAGATTTTTTTCGTCGTATGTGTAACGTACATATCTTTATCAAATGTACAGAGCATTTCTTAATCAATATTTGTTGTTATGTACTTAAAATGTTAATAAGAATTAATAAGCTGAATTTACTTAACCTCAAAATCTTAGTTTTTAATGCATTTTTAGATTAAAATTAAGTTATATTTTTATAATTTTGTAGAAAGATTAATTAGTAATTTATTTATATTCATATTCATATTCATAACTTAATAGGAGACATTTTTATGTAGTTAGAATTATATAAATTTGTAGATATATTATGAAATTCTGATAAATATGTGTGTCATCTAAATACTGTATTTAATTTTTTAAAGATTTTTACTACTTAAAATATCTATAATCATTATATAAACAGGTAAACAGTTTATGATGATATTTTTTCTGTTTAAGTTTTGATGAGACTGGAACTGATAACAAGAAAAGAGACGAAGATCTATTTTATTTAATTGAAGACACTGTGTGGAAATGGGACCTGGTGAATGATCTAAGTTGAATATTTTACTTAGTATTCTTTGACATAAGTAAACTTAATACATTTGTCTACAGATAATCTATTTGGACAAAATGAAGCTATGCGAAAGGTTGATATAACAAAAGATACAACAAAGCTTAAGTCTACAGATATAATTTATATGAAACGTATAGAAGAACAGAATTTGCAAAGAGCAAAAACTGTACAGAAATATCGTAAAGCAAATAATCGTACCGCTATTGCTTTAGGCCTTGGAGTCATTGGAATTTACGCTTATACAATATATTCAGTTAAACAGGAAAAATTCTTAGACGACTTTGAAGTACCGGAAAAGACGATTGAAAAGGCTACATAAAAAGTTATTTTGTTTGAAATGTTAATAAAGAAGTTCACTGTTTATTGTATTAAATAGTAGATAGTATATTTTTGCTTATATAATAGAAAGCTTATTTTTAAAGTGATATTTTTTTTTTCCTTTCTGGGGATTATACTTTATAAATCTCCACTGTTTCACATAAGTGTGTCTGTACAAGATTAACATTTGAAGATGTCTGCTCCACGATTGCCACCACTTCCAACCATACGAGATATACTGAAATTATATAATTTGAGTGCTACAAAACGATTGTCTCAAAATTTCCTTTTGGATGAAAATATAACTAACAAAATTGTAGCAAAAGCAGGAAATATTTCTGGAGGTCAAGTACTGGAAGTCGGTCCAGGTCCAGGTGGATTAACTCGATCTATCCTTAAAAAAATCCCTGAACGATTAGTAGTTGTGGAAAAAGATGAAAGATTTAAACCGACTTTAGAGATGTTAGCAGACTCATTTGGTGCGATCAATGGAAAGATGGATATAATATACGATGACATCTTGAAAACAAACATAGAGAGCCTATTCCCATTGGAGAAAAAGAGAAATTGGAATGATAAATCTCCAGATATCTTCATCATAGGTAATTTACCGTTTAATCTAGCGACATATCTTATAATTCAGTGGTTGCATGCGATATCCGAACAACGTGGGCCTTGGGCATTTGGTAGAACAAAAATGACGTTAACGTTCCAAAAAGAAGTAGCAGAACGTTTAGTAGCTCCACCAATGGGAGACCAACGATGCAGGCTATCAGTAATGGCACAAACTTGGACATTTCCAGTACTTCGTTTTATTATCCCTGGTAATTAAACTGCATTTATTATGTTATAAATTTATTATTTACATTCCAATTTATAATTTATAGGTAAAGCTTTTGTTCCAAAACCGGATGTCGATGTGGGAGTGGTGTCATTTACGCCATTGGTCAAACCACGCACACAGTACGATTTTAAATTCTTTGAAAGGATAACGAGGCATATATTCAATTTCAGACAGAAATACAGTATACGATGCATCGAGTAAGTTTGTTTATATTGTAAATTATCCCTATTATGATAATAAATAAAACTGCGAATAAATTTTTTATCTTTTTTCTTACAGAACTCTATTTCCGAAGGAATACCGCAAAGATTTAGGTTTGATGACGTACAAGTTAGCTGACTTGGAACCAACGCTCAGGCCGACACAACTTACCATAGAGGATATCAACAAGTTAGCAACCGCTTACAAATATCTGCTCGAGAAACATCCGGAGCTTAAATTGTATAATTATCGCACATCTCGGCACTTATTACCATTAAGTAACACAAAAGATATTATAGTGCAGGACTGTGCAGAAATATTGGAAGAAAATGTTGGAATGAGTATCTAATCGGAACGATCTATATTTGAAATATGCATCAAATTTCAGTTTTATTAAATCGTAGATTGTAATGTAGCAGATTAATTTGTTACAGTGA